CTATTCTTTTCCTTTTTGAAAATCGGATTTACTCATCACAGCTTGGTTGCTCTCTACTAGATAGATAGAAAGAAAAGATATTAGTGAGGAGGTGGAAAAAACTGGCATTAAAAAAAAAAAAAAAAAAAAAAAAGTTCTCCGGTACAACCATCAATTGAGATCAGAGAGGGCATGCAGCCCAATGCTTGTGGAACCATTGGGAAAAAAAAACTGGGGGAAAAAAAAAATTTGTACTCCAGTTGCCAATTTTGTTCACAGAATTGAAAAGAAAGCTAGGCTACCAGAGTGGCCCGGGTCCAATTGCCCGCCTGGGCCAAAAAGAAGTAAAAAATATATTTTAAAATTTTAAAATTTTATTTTAAATTTGGTAAAGAATTTCGATGTGATGCTGAGGCAAAAGTTGTTCAGTTTATTTTTCTGCATAACATAGTTGTTTTTCGATTTTTTTTTTCCATTATTTTGGCTGGGACCTTCCCTAGTTCTTGCACGGCCGGGCTGCCCAGGAAAATACGGTGACCCGGGTGGCCTGGCTGGTGGGGTGGATATCACGACCGGTACGATTCCACTTTTGAACACCACGTCCTGGCTGTAGTGGTTAAGAGACTTGGCTCTTGAGGCCAAAGTCGCCGGTTCGAATCTGTGCTTGCACGGAGGACTTAGGCCCAGATGTACGGAATCCATACTACTGTGGAAGCGTCCGTGAACCGACGGGCATTGACAAGTCCCGTCTGTGTGAGCGGGTAAGAGTACCAGCGGGGGTTACGTGCTGACTACAGAGCGAAGAGTACGAGAATTGCCGTGTCCATGGGTATTGTGTGTGGTGTGTGTTGAGTTGGACACTACAGCCTTGCAGGGGTGGGGTGGATATCACGACCGGTACGATTCCACTTTTGAACACCGTGTCCTGGCTGTAGTGGTTAAGAGACTTGGCTCTTGAGGCCGAAGTCGTCGGTTCGAATCTGTGCTTGCACGGAGGAGGACTTAGGCCCATATGTACGGAATCCATACTACTGGTATCCTAGAAAGAAAGCAAAAAAAAAAAAAAAAAGTAATAAAAAAGATAATGTCAGGGATTCACAGACTACCTTGGTTTGGAAATTCACAGATTTTTCCAATGGTAAGACCTCAGTTGGTACACCCACGAATTGTTGACATACTATGAATCAGACCCAAGTTCGAATCCAGATACAATCAGATGATGACCAGAACAAAACCATTATGAATTACCTGGGGTTGGTCAGTTCAATGATGATATCTCAAGGTCGTTGCCCTTTTGAAAAGAAAAAAAAAACAAAAAAAATCACAGATTTTTCAGACGTGTAAAATGCATTTTACTTCTTTCATCAGTTAGAGATCAACATCGTGAAAACCTAACAACACCACAAAACCTAACATTCTTTATAGAATGAAAAAGTAAAAGTCAAACTCTTATTTTTGACACATTACAGAGATTGTTTTTAATTGTTTCCTGAGAAAGGAGACAAAAAAATGGGCAAAAAATCTAGTGATTCTCAAAACGTGCAAGAAAACCCTTTCCAATAAAAAAAACATATTATAGGACTATAAGTCGTTTTCAGTAGATTGACAAAAAGCATAGCTCAAACAATCAATCTCTAAGGACTGCAAGGCGAACTTGAAAGACGTTAAAAAAAACAGTTTCAGTGAATACTCATATATAGAACTATAATTCGTTTTCAACAGTTTGGTAAAAACCAAGTTCTGTGAAAACTAATTTATAGAACTATAAATTAATATAATCCATTTTAAAGTTTATTGTAAAATCCTTGTCAAAAAATATATGTTATGTAAAAGAAGAATTCAAACAACTTTTGCCTCGGCGACATCTTCAAATTCTTAGCCAACCAAGATTTAAAATTAAAAAATGGAAAAATATTTTAATAAAAAAAATCAAAAAATACAAAAAAATAATATATTCGTCCATGTATGAGAGAACATATCCAAGAGAATGTATTCGTGAATAGGAGAATATATGTGCATGTTTGGGAACCCCCCGAATAGGTTCATCGTGCTACATACCTTATACAACTATAAGTTTGATTTTTTTAAATAAACAAAAAATTAGGATATTTTGATTCTTGATCAAACGGTGCTTTGCAAGGTAGTGATTTTTTGTAAAAAGACTTATTTCTCTCCTCACCACTTCTAGTGGTTTTAAAAAAGTACTTTTCTATTCATTTTTTGCGGTTAATTTACTTCACATAGAATATTGTTCATGTAGGAGGCCTGAAAAATGTATTATCTGAATCTTTAAAAAATTTCGTGCAAACCTAGGCTACCAGAATGGCCCGGGGTCACTTGCCCGGCCGGGCCAAAAAGATTTAAAAAATAATAAAAAATAAAAAATATTTTAATTTTTTATTTTATATTTTAAATTTGGTAAAGAATTTTGATGTGACCCTGAGGCAAAAGTTGTTCACTTTATTTTTCTGCATAACATAGTTTGTTTTCGGATTTTTTGGATTTTTTTTTTTTTGCTGGGACGCTCCCTTGTCCTTGCACGGGCTGGCCACCCAGGACCCGGGCGGCCGGGCTGGTAGCCTAGGTGCAAACCTAACAATTTTTTTTGTTAGGTTTCCACGAATTCTATGTTGATCACGGACTACATCAATTCTGCATTTTTTTTTTGCTTTTTTTTTTTTTTTTTTTCCTGTTTCTTTTACCAAGCAAATTTGGGAGGAGGTACCAGAATTGGATTGATGTCCGAATCTGGACGTGTTTTGTGGAGCCGTGCAGAAAATCGAGATTGAACTGCTTTCCTGCCTCTTTACATAAAACAAATCCAGATTCAGGAGCTTAATCCAATGACCTTTGCTGGTGGGACTTCGCCCTAGATTAGCTTGGTAAAAGAAACAGAATAAATAAA